CTCCCGTCATCGTCTCCCAATCCCGTCTGAGACCGGGTGACACGGGTGGCCGCTGACGTGGGTGTGTCCGCACGCACGTGTGCAAAAATGAGTGTCTCGGAGGTGCCCTCTCCCTCCGCCGTGGTTCTGCAGCTCCGTGCCTCCGGGACCCAACACTTAGATGTGCAAACCTTGGTTGTCTCTTTATAAAATACAGCTCGAGCTGCGAGGGCTGTTGTGGGCCTTTAGAGTTAGACAGTCAGGTGAAGTGTGCATCGAGAGTGTTTGGGTTGTTTGTGGTTTTTCTTTTGCATTAGCTGACATCCCATTTGCAAGGATGTTTGTCTTCATTTTGCTTGTTCCCTTGTACATGTGGTGCTGTGTGTCTGTATTGGCAGTGGCCTTGATGGTTTCCAGGAGTTACTGCCTCAGCCTCTTCCTTAAAAGATAACCCTCTTGTCACTAGGCGATGTCAACCCTACTGCCTTGATATTCCCTGACTAAGTGCCTCCCATCTTATCTTGCCCCTTCTGATTCTTAGAATGCCCTGCACTGGTCACTGCTTTTGTTTTTAAAGAATGGAACTGTTAGAAGCTTTACATTTATTTTTTTCCACCTAGTTGGCATTTGTTACATTGCTCCTTTTCTGAAAATCCGGTTAGAAATACCATATCCAGCCATTTTTTTTTCATTCTGTGTGTTCCGTGGCTTACTGTTTTACAAACAGTAAATTTGTAAAACAAATTTATTTACCCAAGGAGTATTTGTGTATAATTATCTTCTTGCCGTACTGAGTTTGTGGGTGTGTTGTTCTGAGACAGAGTCTTGCTAAGTAGTCTCGAGTGACATCAACTTCTCTTTCTGCCTCTGGAGTGCTCTTGGAGTGCTGGGTCTCTAGTGCATACCCTTTGTACCAGTGTGTATTTTGAATAATATCTGAAGATAAGGCCTCCTTCCATCCAGCTTTCTTCAAAGGAAATCTCTTTTGGTAGGACTGCTTTTGCATTGGTTGCATCATCGTCATCTTTTCTGAGAGAACTTGATTATAAAATAAAAATTACAGAATATTAGGACATGTAAAAGTGAAGACCAGAGGTGTTTTTGTTTTTAATGGAGGGAGAGTACATGTGATATTTTATTGAATTTAAATCAATGTATGAAAGTCAACATGAAGTTCTCAAGCATTTGAATCCCATTTTGTCCCTCAATAGCAGTTTTTCTTCAAGATCTAATGTATTTATTTCTCATTTTCTCCCTCCTTTCTGTGTTACCTAACTATGATTTAAGCTTTTGATGTCAGTGGTTTGTCGGAGTAATGTGAGTAAACTTTGCTAAAGCTGGATTACACGTGGGAGAAAGCAAGTAGGCTTTGTAATTTGTAATTACACACTCTGAAAGGAACCTGACTTACCCAAACCCTGACAGAGTGTAAGAGCTGTGAGATAAGATACTCTGCTCACACTCAGGTTACACTCAACATACACTTCCATCATTTCCTCTTAAAATAGCCAGACTTGGGGCTTGAGAGATGGCTCAGCAGTTAAGAGCACTGGCTGTTCTTCCAGAGGACCCCCGGTTCAGTTCCCAGAATCCCACATGGCAGCTCACAACTCTCTGTAATCCAATTCCAGTGGATCTGATACCTTCACACCAATGCACATAAAGTAAAGTTAAATAAAATTTTTAAAAAGTAGCCAGACATTTCAACTACTCTATCCCCTTTCAGTGTAACTCCTCAAATTTTAATTTTACTACTAGTAATTGTATTTTTTGATAATTTTTCTTTCCAGAAGCTTCAGTGTCAAAGCAACTTAATGTATCCAGTAGTAAGCTTCCAAAAGCTTACTAAGCAAAGGAGTTGAGAGCCATCAGACTAGTCAGTGACACTACTGACTAGTGCCATCCATCCCCTTTGTTCATTTGAGAAGGAAATCTAAGTCATTCTGGTTTCCTTGTGTCTCTCCTGCTTCCTAGTCTTCACAAAGGCCTTAAAATTCATCACTAATTTGATATTTGACAACTTAACTATTTCTTTAGGCTAGCCCATTGACCAGTCTTACCAAATTTACAGCAATACAAACTGATTCCATATCATACATGACTTATTCAAAAATCAAACCCATATTACAAACTCTCAAATACAGATTCCTATTTTATATCTACCAATAGTGTCTCAAACTTGAGTTCTTTGGAAGGGTCCATTTTCATGTCTCTTCTACTTTCTTCTCATTTGTCCCTTCATACCATTGCCTTGACACTGGCTGTTAACATCAGTGAATTGATGAAGTTCCCCCAGTCTAGGAGCTATTGCACAGGGGTGCTTTCCACTGCTTCCTTCCTCCTGCCTCATGGTCCACTCACACCTGAAGGCGAAGGTTGTTACTGCCTCAGGCAAGTCTGCCTCAAATACTGTGTTTTCAAAAAGGGTCCAGTGCCCCTGTAATCTGTTTTAGTGTGAATCAGTCTTTGTTTTATCTTGCTGTAACAGATTACCCGAGTCTGTGTAAACCAAAAAACGGGGATTTAATGTTTTTGTTCTGGAGGCTGGCAAGTCTAAGGGGCCTATACCAGCCAGAGGGCCTTCTTGCATTATCCCCTAGGAAAAGAGCAGGGTGGGGAGACCACGTTGATCCTATACCAAAATCTCTCATATACAAACTTCAGTTTTATATCTGCCAATAGCTTCTTAAACTTCAGGATTCTTTAATAGGTCCTTACTGGATTTGCATGCCTCCTTATCTCAGTGTTATCAGAAGTAACCTTGGAATCTCCTAGGATTAAAGTAGACGCTTATGAAAACAATCAGAGTTAAGAAATTCCATATGCTTAGGGAATTTAAAGTAATTAAAAAGTAACATTACTTCAACATTAAAAAGTAATGTTGAAGTATAATTACTAAATGCAGCCATATTCAAAACAAGGAAAGGAAGTCTCCATTGGTTTAAAAAAAAAAAAAAAGAGGTTTGCTCCTAAGAAAGCAGAAGGGAACCACAATGGGGTTTTGAGAATAGAGCCCAAGGAAGTATGTTGCCCTGCTAGCCTACCAGGCAGAAATGTACCATCTGCCATCACAGAGATGGAGAAGCATCATCCATGTGTTCTGAGTCTTGAGCCAAGATGCTTCTGTAAAGCTTTGTCCAGAGAGCTTGAGGCCAGGGTGAGAGGGGTATCACAGCTTGTGAGCTGGACGAGTTTTCTATAGGACCTGAATTCTCATCCAAAAGTCACAAACTACCTTAGGTAGATGAAAAAAGAAAAAGCCATAATAGGTAATAGCTGAGCTTTTATTGAGTCCTACTATATGTCAGGCACCATTCTAAATATATATATATTAACCCTGTAAAATAAGTACTGCTGCCTGCTATTTATAGAATGGTAAAGTAAAAGCAAAGTCAGATGAACTCATTATAGGAATAAAACTAGAATATGAACCCAGATGGCCTGGTTCTAGAGAGCACACTCCTGACTAACCAACTACTCACCTTTACTGTTTGCTATGCTTCAGAAGTCATAGACCAACCTCCAATAAACCAGAGCAATGGAAAATGGAGCCTAAGTTATGTAAAGGACTTAGGAACAAATAAGAAATCACTGTAAATAAGCATTCAGCAAGAAAACAACAAATGATTTGGGAAAAAATTATAGTCTTAAAAGTACAGTCACTGAAATCAGCAGATAACATGGGTAACAAACTTATATCACCGAAGAGCAAAATATTAGTAAATTGAACTATCAGCCCTGAAAAAATGAAAATGAGTACTCTGGCCAAAGTGGAATAACATACTAAGCATATCCTCCAACTTGCACAAAACAAAAACCCATGTAAAACATAAAAAGATTTGCAAGAGATTGAATATTAGTCATCTTAAAAAAAATGTGATTCTTAAGGTACAGGAAATACATGAGGTGGTATTTTTGTCACCCCAACTCGTTGTCTTCAAGGCCTCATTACAGCACAGACATGCCAGGTGGGACCAGGTGCACAATGAGTGGAGCTAAGGGTTTTAGAAGATGGAGAAGAGCAATGCAAGAAGAGGAGTTACCACAAATGGGGCAGGAATGGACTGCCTGAAAGAGCTGCACAGATACTTCTGGGGGCCATTGGCATAGTGCGAAGAGCATTGACTAGTTAACACACTCACCACCCAGAAAACTGGGGGACAAAACGCCCAAAATATTAGAACGCAACACAGTGCTTCCAGAGAGCTAATGACAGTGCCATCCTATAAGCCAGAATGGAAAACACAATTTGTGAAACAGTCATAGAGTACTTGAAAGAGATTTACCTTAGTAGCATAATCAGCTGTTCACTACAGGTCTTTGGTTCTGCCCAGCCAATTTCAGGATTAAGACCTAAAAGTTTGCAGGTAACTATATTTACTATAAGCTCAAGAATTATAGGAAGATAAAGATGTCCAATACCAACAAAGTAAAATTTACAATATCTAGCTACTAAGCACTGGATATGTGCGTGCTGCTTCAATTTTGCTCATGTTGATTTAGAGGGTCCTAATGGTATATTCCATCCACTCTGGCTTACACATGCTTTCTGCCTCCTTTTCAGCAGGGCTCCCTGAGCTAGGAGGGAAGGGATTTGCAGACATCCCATTTAGGGCTGAGTGTTCCAATGTCTCTTACTTTCCGAATAACAACTGGCTGTGGGGGTGTCTATTTGCTCCCATCTGCTGCAAGAGGAAGTTTTTCCAACATATATATATATATATATTTATGTGAGTCTCTGCATCTGCTTCTGTCAGTTTCTGGATGAAGGTTCTGTGATGACAATTAGGTAGTCATCAATCTGATTACAGGAAAAGGCCAGTTAGGCACCCTGTAATGTACTAGGGGTCTTGGCTCCCTCTATTGATATCTTTCATTGCTCTCCCACTCCACCCTCCCCCAGTTCAACCATCCCATTCTCTCGTGGTCTCATCCCTCATCCCCTCCTTGTTACCATCTCCCTTACCCCAAGTTTACCCAGTTTCATTTATTTCCCCTTCACCAGGCAATCCATGTGTCCCTCTTAGGGCCCTCGTTACCTAGCTTTTCTGGAGCTATGGATTGTGGTCTGGTTATCCTTTTCTAGTATCCACTTATGAGTAAGTACTTACCGTGCTTGTCTTTCTGGGTCTAGGTTACCTCACTCAGAATGATTTTTTTTCTATTTGCATTCATTTGCCTGCAAATTTCACGATGTCATTCTTTTTTACAACTGATTAATATTCCATTGTGTAAATTACCACATTTTCTTTATCCATTCTTCTGTTGAGAGGCATCTAGGTTATTTCTAGGTTCTGGCTATTATGAATAATGCTGCTATGCACATAGTTGAGAACGTGTCCTTCTGGTCTGATTGAGAACCATTTGGGTATATGCCCAAGAGTGGTAGTTTTGGGTCTTGAGATGGATTGATTCCCAATTTTCTGAGATACTGATTTCCAAAGTGTGTAAGTTTGTACTCTCACCAGCAGTGGAGGACTGTTCCCCTTTCCCCACATCCTCTCCAACATAAGCTATCGTCAGTGTTTTTGATCTTAGCCATTCTGACAGGTGTAAGATTACCATCTCAGAGTCATTTTGATTTGCATTTCCCAGATACAGGGACCCACATCCAAGTAACAGACTGAGCTACGGGAATGCAGTGCAGTCAAAGAGAGGGAAGAGGGATTATATGAGAGGCGGGGTCACTGTCATGATGGGGAAACCCATAGAGACAGTAGGAGCTCACAGACTCTAAACTGACAACTGGAGAGCCTGTATTGGGACCAAACTAGGCCCTCTGCATGGAGGTGACAGTTTTGCAGCCCTGTTTGTGGGATCCCTGGCAGTGGGACCAGGATCTGTCCCTGGTGCATGGACTGGCTTTTCGAAGCCCATTCCATCTATATCGTGGGATGCCTTGCTCAGCCTTGATTGGGCTAGGGTGTTGGTCCTGCCTCAGCTGAATGTTCCAGGCCTTGTTGACTCCCCATGGACGCTTTACCCTTTCTGAGGAGTGGATGGGTGGGGAGAGTTGGGGGGTAGGGGTGGGAAGAGGGGAGGGGGAACTGGTTGGTATGTAAAATAAAAAATATTTAAAATGTGAATGAATTCATTTTCAAGTGAAATATTATGTTAAAGTGCTTTCCCACAAATTCTTTAACTCTTTTTTTTTAACTTTTGAGATTATAATTTCTCTATTCCCTTCATACCCTTTTATATCCCCTCTCTGCTCTCCTATATGTTCTATTTTTACTAATTGTTATTGCATGCATATGTATATACAGAAATATGCCTAAAGAAAACGTGTTCAGTCGTCAAGAAAAACAGCTGTGTGCATTTTTCTTTTTTAGATGTTGCACGATTTTTAAAAATGTGTCTCTATGTTTTTCAGTTCTGCTTGAGATTTCAAGGATTTTGAATACTGGTTTAGATATGGAAACACTGTCTATTTGTGTACGGCTTTGTGAACAAGGAATCAATCCAGAGGCTTTATCATCCGTTATTAAGGAGCTTCGAAAGGGTACTGAAGCACTAAAGGTTAGATTTGTTTAGTAGTTTTTTTCTCTTTTTTAACTTTCTTTTTATTTATTCTTGTGTGTTTCACCTCATACATCTCAATCCCATCCTCTTCCATCCACCCTCTGCCCCTGCAACTACTCTCCCCCAAAATAAAACAAAATTTAAGAGAAAAAAGGAAAGAAAGGGAAAATCTCATCACGGAAGTTGCACTGTGATATACTGAGGTATGCAAAAAAACACCCCTTTACATGCAGGCATTGATTGCAAAGAGTCACTGGCCTGGACTCTCACTGGGACTCTTCCTGAGCATCCAGTTGCTGCCCTGTGTTGTCACGATCCTGCAGCCCTGGGTCCACAAGACACCACAACCCTTGTGTTCCAGCAGATCACAGATGGGGTGGATTTTGGAGTGGGCCAATACATAACCCTGATTCTGGCCTAGGTAGTTGCAGGGTTGATCAGCCCAGCAGCTAGAAATGACTAAGGAGCTATATGGAAGATCATAGCCATGTCAGATTAGCTAATGTTTGACACCATCAGGAGAAAGTCTCAAGACCAGAAGCTAAGTTCAGACCATGAAAATTTTGATAAGCCATGTTATCTTTTCTTAGGAATCTCTTGCTACTTTTAGAATTTTTCTGTGTTGAGTAGATTTGTGCCTCCTGCCAAAACTGCAAGCCCTAATCACTGGTACCAATGAATCTAACCATATTTGAAAATAGTATCTGTGTGTATGTCACAGATTACAATGAGTTCATACTGAATTAGGGTGGCTTCTAATCCAGCAATTGGTGTCATGATTAGCTATTTCAATACAAATAAACAGAAACAACACATGTGAAGACAGCGGGAGAGCAGGCTGTATGGTCACGCATCCCACGAACTGTAAATATTGACACTTAAAGTGATTATAGTTGTCCATCAGCAATATGGCTTCCTTTTTTTCCTGAGATAATGGAGCTACGTGAAGTACGAAATGCAAATTCCTTGCTTTTAAATTGTTGTTTCAGAGAAACCCAAGGTTTTTTTATTTTACTACTCTTGGATTTTGAAACCTAACACAGAAAGGTAAACTAAACATACTTAAAGGGCAAATATTGATGATAAATACAAAAGGGGCTGGATGGCTAAGACACATGTGTGCAAACATGAATTTGATCCCTACCTGGGTTCAGGAATGCATGTCTGTATTCCTAGAGCTGGGGAGGTGGAGATGGAGGTTCCCTGCGGCTTGTTGGTCAGTTAGTATAGACAAATGGGTAAACTCCAGGCTCATCCAAAGACCCGGTCTCAAAAGAAAGTGATTGTGTTGACCATACACACACATGCACACAGAGAGAATTAGGTACCCATATGATCATCTCTACAAGGATGTTAGAAGCCCCGCTTCCCTCCACAGTCACTCTTGTCTTCCCTCTTGCTCTCCCCTCCAGTCTCCTGAGTTTTAGAGTAGACACTCACCACTCTCGCTAATTGAACTGGATGCCGAAAAGATACTATAACTTTCTCAAAGTTTTAAGCTTCCTTTAAGTGGAATCTTACACTATTTCTGCTGGGTTCTTTCATTTAGTGTCATGTCTGTGGTGTTCGCTTATCATGAGTGTCACTGTAATGTGTTTCTTTTCTTGCAAATAAGTTTCCTTCTACAAATATACTACAGTTTTTCCTATCTGTTACGAATAGATACTTAGTTGTTTCCACTGTAAGACTATTATAAATAATGCTTGCTTATATATATGCATTTGGTTTAGATATATACCTAGACATAAAATGACTGGGCTGTAGGTTGTGTGTGTTAGCAACTTAATTTTCCCAAAGTAGCTGTCTTAATTTATCCTTCCCCAGCAGCATGTGAGTTTCCTTTGTTTCGTATTTGTCAATATGCATTACTGGAAGCCTTAGCTTCAGCCATTCCTCATTAAGGACCATATTGCTCTTTTTATTTGTACTTCTGCGTACCCTTAAAATTGAATGCACTTCATAGGGGTTTGTCCAGCTTCTATTCAGTTCACTTACCTTCTTTGTCATCTGTTTAAAAACTCAGCTTCTAACTTTCACAGCAGGATGAAAAAGAACTGAAAAACAATAGGTGACAGTTAAGTGAGTACTTTCCTTGTGCTAAAGTAGGCCATAGGCTCAGGCTGTACTGGCATTATTACCTCCAGTCATACAGTGGCAGCTGCTGCTACTACTGTTAGTACCATGCTGCCGAGGAAACCGAAGCATAGAGTAACCAGCCCAGCTACTGATAGTAGTTGACCTGGAGTTATAATTTGCACTGTCTGACAAAGAATATGTAAGCCAGCTTTTTTAATGTTTTCTTTTTTGAAACAGAGTCTCATTATGTATCTGTGGATGGCCCCCAACTCATGGTGGTCATCCTGCCTCTGCCTCCAGAGTACCACCACAACTGGCAAAACAATTTTAAACTCTGCTCTAACTCTTTTGTGTGGGAAGTTCTGAGGAGAGAAAAGTTAACTCACACTATTTTTGTGCACTGGCCATCCTAAGGAAAACAAGATCAGTTCTTTGCCTATAAGGAAAAAAAGGTTAGGCCTTTAATATTTATTATTGCATTATTTATAATTTTCCCAACTTTTTACTATATTTTCTTGAAATATCTTCAAAAAGGAATTTTAATTAGAAGAAATAGAAGTACATCATGTATTTTGCTAAGATTAAATTCATCATTTTCAGGGCTGGGCAGTGGCGCACGCCTTTAATCTCAGCATTCGAGGCAGAGGCAGGCAGATCTCTGTGAGTTCAAGGCCATTCTGGTCTATGGAGTAAGTTCCAAGACAGCTAGGACTACACAGAGAAACCCTGTCTCAAAATAAGCAAACAAAGTTCATCATTTTCATATTGGCATTAGGAAATACATTAAGTCTTTGGTTTGTTCCTGGGCTTTTTAAACAGGTTTTGTTCCCCATGACCCTCAAGTTTGGTCTGTAGCTTGAGCTCTTCCTGGCTTAGCCTCCCAAGTGCTGAGTTACTGGCAGGTGCTTACCCTTTCAAGTTCTTTCTAGAAATACATATCAGATTGTTTTTGTGGTGAATGATCAAACACATCTGGAAGCTGGTGTTAACCACTCCTAGAAAGAAAACAACTGAATATTCTTCCTCATCCGCAGATCCTAGCCTTTAATATAGACACGTGTAACAGCTGTAAGTGTAACGCTAGGTGATGAGGAACGACAAAAATGCTGGTCAAGGGTCATAGGAGTCATGAAAGGTACAAAGCTTAATGTTTTTCTAGTTTTAACTCTGTCGTGCCATTTTCTTGCCCCCCAATCCTAAATGAAATGACATTCTAACTGTATCATTGAGATGTTTGGGACTAGGAGTGCAAGTGTGAAGTCTTTTTTTTTTTTTCTGAATTCATTACAATACAATGATTTTAAGAAATAGTACAATTGTACATGCTCTCTATTATTTAAGATGATATAAATAAATTTTGTTTGTAATCTAGCAGTGAATTCAAAGGATAATCTTGATAATACAACAAAAATAAAAATGACTGTATTTTCCCAATAATTCAGTTATGTTGGGTAACAGCTAGCTGTTTGTTCAGTGTAGTATAGAACTGACAGATTTACCTCCACAGTGTGTCTTCACCATGACTTCTGAAATCACAAGTCTTGCTCTCTTGTTCTAGGCTGCTGAAAATACAAGCTGATTGACGGGGAAGTCCTGAGCAGATATTTCAAGCTCTGCAAGAAAATTTGAAGATTGCATTGTAGTCAAGATGTACAATGATAATCCTGCTTTCTGCATAGAAAATGTTTTCTTTTAAAAAGAATTATAAACCCGTGACTGTGTAAGCCAGTGGGAAGTGGCTTAAGGAGAACTAGTGGGCATGTTTACGTCACAGCTATCTTGTTGTTAACGGTCCCAAGTCCATGGCGTTGCTATGCTCTTATTTATGTATTCCTTATTTGTAGCTCTGCTAGCTGTAGTTTTCTAAACAATATCTGTCAGATGTACACAGCTGCTGTGCCTGGTTAGTAGAACACTTCAGAGGTGATGAATAGTAGCTATGACTTGTTGGCATTTCTATTATAACCCTTACTTTTGAAGTGGTTGTGCACAATAACTGCTGTATGTTCCATTGGGCTGGAAGTTGATGGGATCTCAGCTGCCGTTTGTGAGTTTTGCTGCTTTTGTGATTCACATCTTGCTTTTAAAAAAAAGAGTCAAAAGCGCGTCTTCTAATCATCTCCTTAGCAGAATACTTAGTTTTTTAAGCCTTTTTTTTGGCAGTTAAAAGTGTAAAGATCAATTTTTATATTGACTAAAACTTAGAACTTTTAGGAACTGAGATTTTAGAGGTAATGCCAGGGCTTGGCTTAGCCTTATTTGTAGTGAACTATTTAAATCTAATGAGAGTATCTGAGAATGCTTTTCTTTCCAATTTTTTTTTTCTTTCCAGTTTTATAAAGGCCTACAAAATAATGTAAAGTGAAAACAGCAAACTTGCATAAAAATAATAGAAATGCATACTAATTAATCTTGACTGGCTATTTAATCAGTACATCGGTGGTGTATTTCCACAAATTGATCCATATTTTCTGAAGAAGTAGGGTTTTCTACTTGTTAAAAACAACTAATGAAATGTATACTAGTAATTTTAAGTATGATTTTGCAGAAAAAAATTGTGTCATTATTTTTAAAGCATAAACTCATGGAAATGATGGTTCAAAAATAAATTTAAAAAAATGATGAAGGTATTGGTTCTGTTCCTGTTAGAGAATCTCAGTAGAATATTTTCACAAACTTAATAAGGATTTAGTCTGAATTTCTTTTGTTTCTTAAATTTTAATTTTATTTCTCTGACATTTATATGATGTACAAGCATTCATTCTTCTGTAGCCTCTTTTGTAGTTCAGACTATCGAAAATGGTTTTTAAAAGATTTAGTAATTAAGTAGCTAGCCTCTCTGCTGCCCTAATCTCAACTATTCCCTTCAATCAGAAGACTGGGGCAAAGGACTTGTGCACTTCAGGCCTTCTTGGGCTATACGGGCAACATAGCAAGACCCAATCTCAACAGACAGAATCTGGGCTTGTAGCTCTTTTGACTTTTTAAATGCATGACATCTTTACTAAGTAAATTGAAAGGTCTATTACAGTTGGGAGATAGTAAGAACTTGTAAGAATCCTATGACTGCCGATATGCACATACTGCATATCAGAAAGTACTTTCTCAGACTCCACAATCTATATTTACTTCTAGGCCATAGAGTTCATAGTTTTATTTTTGATTTTGTAGATTAAGCTATTTATGTGTGAAACAAAGTAGGCAAATATATTGAGAAAGGACTGGGTTTTTAGAGAACATATTGTGTCTCATGTTTTAGAGAACTTTGTGTTACATTTTTAAATGTAACCATATATTTTTAATGAGCTCATAAGTAATATTTAAGAAACCAGTGGTAACAATGGCACTATCATGCATGTTGTCGATGACAAAATGATTTTGGTATTGGCATGTCCCTTTGATGTAATATATACTTCTGTGAGTTCAATGCTGTTTCTGAAATTAATCTTTGAGTAGGAATGGAATTTTTTCCTGATAGTGAGAGGAGATAATCATATTAGTATTGGCTTGGTTTCAAAACTAAATTGACAATTCAAATAAATGTAATATTGTGTTTATTTCTATACGTCATACAAGGTAATCTTTATGTGGAAATTATTATAAAAATTTTTTGTGTAAAAGTTATTTGTTGTTCAAACATATGTGAACATTTCCCAATAATTGAATCAAATATGTTTCAAACATATAATTAAAAACTTGATTCCTTGGTTTCATTGACCATTCTTTATTGTCATGAAAGATAATGTAAAATTTATGATTTTTGGTGATTTCAGTTGAGCAGCTTAGTGACATGAAGAATTTGCCATTGTTTTGTAACCCTCATCATCTAGAACTTTGTCACCCTCTCAGGTGGACACGTGCTAGTTGGTTATTTCCTATGCCTTCCACTAACTCAGCCAACCCATTTCCTGCATTCTATCCATGAACTCAGTTCTAGCCGTCTGTATAAGGTGAATCACACAACATCTGTCCATTAAGTCTCGACATCCATTGTAATGTCTGCACTGTGTTTTCCTGTTTATTCACCGGTCACTGGGGCTGTCACGAGTGATACTGTGAACACAGTGTGCAGGTGTCCATTCAGCCTCTTCCTTTTAGTACTCTGGGGCACGTACATACTCCACAGTTTAGCAAGGCCCTTTCTCAAGTTTTCAAAAGAAAAGAGATACGCCAGTACTGCCTGATCTCAAAAAAGGGAAGGAAGGAAAGTGCAAGGGAGACAGCCTAAAACATTTGTTTGCCATAAATGTATGTAGGTGATGAGTTGACCTCTGAAAACAACGAAACAAAAACGAACTGAAATTCAGTGTTGAGCTTTATATATGCCAAGTATTTCAAGTATTAATTTTCAAAAGGTGCAAGTCACAGCAGAGCCTCAAATGGCAGCCTCAGTCTGTTAAAAGACAGCATCCATTATAACAGAGTGGAATCTTGAGCTCTCTTGTGAATGGAAGTGTGGAGATGCAGCTTTAAAAGTAGTCCACATTATCGTGTATAACCAGTAAATGAGATGTACCATGCAGGGTTACATCAGAAAGTCTTTACGGAGGGTTTTATAGTAATTACACTTTCAAAAAGTAACGCTTGAAAACTTTCATCTGTTAGATATTCTAGAGATATTCTAGAGGCTTGCCTTCCAGCTCTTCTATCAGCAAATGGCCTTTTTATTGTCAAGAGTTATGGCTTACACTTGAATTTGCTGAACATGATACATTGGGGTGTTGTGGATGTTTTGGCTCTTTTGGGGGAGCCCCAAATAAATAAATAAATAAATAAATAAATAAATCACACAAATAAATCACACATGGAGTCTTACTATTATTAATGAACACCCAGCCATAGCTTGACTTGTTTCTTTTTTTTTTTCTTTTTTCTTTTTTTGGTTTTTCAAGGCATGGTTTCTCTGTGTAGCTTTGGAGCCTATCCTATCCTGGTGCTCACTCTAGAGACCAGGCTGGCCTCGAACTCACAGAGATCCACCTGCCTCTGCTTCCCGAGTGCTGGGATTAAAGGCGTGATCCCCCAATCCCCGGTTTTTTTTTTTTTTTTTTTTTTTTGCATTACTAGTATATTTTTGTTTATTATTATCACAGTTCTAGAAGCTCTGGTACATGTTGTCAGGAACACAAAACTTCATACTGGGAAAATGCTGCTTTGAAATTTCCAGATTAAGGTGGGGAGCTGTTAATTTTCCAGTGAGTGAATATGAAGAATGAGACTGGCAGTGCAAAAATATAATCCCAGAATTTAGGAGGTGGAGGTGAGAGGGTAGAGCTGAAGACCAGACAGCAGGATGGTATCCTAAAAAGAAAATCAAAATCAACAACAGAACCTAGACACTAGACACAAGAAAGAAAGAAAGAAAGAAAGAAAGAAAAAGAGAGAGAGAGAGAGAGAAAGAGAGAGAGAGAGAGGAAGGAAGGGAGGAAGGAAAAGAAAGAAAAGAAAGAAAGAAAGAAAGAAAGAAAGAAAGAAAGAAAGAAAGAAAGAAAGAAAGAAAGACAGAAAGGTGTGAACTCGTCCTGGGCATCCTGGGATGAACAGACCCCTGGAGGCAGAAGCTCCTTGCCTAATGAGTACATTGTTTCACAATTGTTTAAAAAATCAGGTTTTAGAAGGGAATGCTGGGGTTCAACTGTGCCACCAAGTAGTTTGTGCTGTCTCTGCAGTTCACTCTCATAGCTCAAGAGCACGGGGCTTTTCTATCACCAGCAGGCTCACGCCCTGGCATACCCAGCATGAGACATTTGTTTTGCTTGGATTCCTAACAACCGTGCAACAATCCAAAATGGGACTTCTTGTTTATAACCTCGGGTTTTAAAAGAGGTCTTATAGGCGAACAGCCACAAAAATCAAGTGATTAGCCTTGTTACAAGAAAAAGTAATGTAGATCCTGCCATTGTGGTGGCGGGGGCGGAGGGGGGGTGCGCGGATAAAAGGTCATTCGGGAGTTACTTCCTCTGGAGTAAACACCAAATTCTAGTAAACCTGGGAAGACAGTGTCACGGCCGCCAAATGAATCCAATACCCACCAAATCCACAGATGGAGGGTGAGGAGTGGTGAGTGGAGTGTGACCCTGGAGTTTTGCCATAGGGACACTCTTGCTGTGCCTGATTCCCAGCCTCATGGACTCGGGGTGGGGTCCCATGGGGGCGGGTGTGGACAGGGAGTGGCTTGGCCCAGGCAGTTAATAGTTCCTTAATCCCCTGATGTTCTCTTTAATCTGCATATGCTCACTTCTTTCTTCCTTTTTGCTCATTGGTTTCTCGAGAGACCTTACTTACACTATAGGAAAATCTCTTTTCTCCAACTGCTCTGTAGCCTCTAGCCTATGACATCATTCCAATAGCCCTCCGGGCTCGCAAATGCTACTCCTCACCCACTCAGTAGGTTCCACTGAGCTTTTGAGGAAATGTTTATGCAGCAGATATTTATTAAAGGAAAACAGAGCAAATAAAAAAAATAAAACACTTATTAGGCCTGAAGTAGAGCACAGAATGAAACCCTCCTCACTTGGCAAGCAGTGAAGTCCGTGCTTGGG